CCAGACTTATGATCCAATTGAGATCGTGACTTGGGGAATGATTTTTGGGTCCAGACTTTTGCAATCCCTGGAGTTTCCCCGAGACGGCGATGATTCCCGCCCGACCCTTATCCGTGGGTTCTCAAGGTGAACATTCCCTGCGAAGTCTCTTCATTCCTTAGGCATGTTCAGCCTAAACCCCAAACCCTAAAATAGTTGGTCCATATATAACATATGGTTTGAACAAGAACTCCTTGATGCCAAGATCACAGACGTGATTGAGACTTGCAGACACGTTTCTCTCAAGTCGTCTTCCATCAGGGGCCAGTCGATGCCCAGCAAATTCATGCAATGTCTATATATGTTTGTTAATTACTGATCACTTTTAAGCAACACATAGTAATAACATGGATAATCAGCTATAGCTTCCAGTTACCACGTCATTCGACCCATGACCATTTGACCCGTTTGACGCTGCACATCATCAATTCGTTAAGCCCACCGAGGCGCGCGGCGGAACAATATGCGACTTGGAAGCGCCACGAGAAAGCGCATGTCTGGAGTGACATGACGTCGTCACCCGTGATCAAGGAGATATGGCGCATATGCATATGCATGGTTTTCCGACCTGATCTTCTGCAGTGCTTTGCGCTTTCGCACTGTTTTAGCCTGCCGTCTCCCATGTTTGGGCCAAAGCTGCTTCACCGAGTCTAGCCACTCACGGGTGGGCCCAGTCAGCACACAGCGGACTCTTGGGGGCAGGTCGAGCGGCTCCACCCAGCCCACGTCCTTCTGGAAGGTGACTAACGGGGTCTCACAGCAGACATGTGACCTGTATATAGATTGGAGGGCATATGGTTTTTGCATGTCAACAAAAAACAGCGGTTGATCTGCTTGAAGCTGCTTCAGATCCTGAAAAAAGAGCCAACAACTATATATAGGGATCGCTTCTGAGAAGGTACGACTGGGGAAGGTTTGGGCGTCCGACCGCCAGATGACCGTGTAACGTGGAGGGATGGCTTTAAGAGCACCAAAGGGTGCTTAACCTGTTTGTTTTCCACTTATTAACGTGGCGTCCAAATGAAGAAATGGTCTATGTTCCCGTATACAAGAAGCCAGTTGGGGGCTATATACAGATGTTGCACCAATAGTTATGTGGAGTAATGATTTGTACGAAAAGATAGTAGTTTCTTGATTTTCTGAATTTGTGTGTGTTTCCTTTTTCGGGTGCATTCACTCAACCAGGCAGGTGCAGAATCGAACTATGGGTGCTGTTGAAGCCTGGCCAAAGTGATGTAGTATATGCTCCAATATATGAGATATGTAGTCTATTTGATGCAAACACTATATGACCCAAGGTATAGCCTCCCCTCGCTCAGCTTCACTTGCCCCACCCAGCACTGGGCTCCGCTGTGTTCACACCACCGAGGCCAGTGCTTCCGTCTTCGCAGAGCGTAGCTTTGCACTGGCGGCGGCTGGAGTGAAGGCTGGCGACCCAGAAATCTACGTGGATAACCTGTAGTGAATGGAGAGTAGATGGCACAATCCCTAAGTTTTTGGTGCTTTATATGGACCTCCCCCATCTAAGGGACACCCCACTAAACAAGAAGAGGTCGAAAGTTTGAACCTGTGTCAACCCTTTTTCTCCTGGGAAACTGGAAAGCTTGGGAGTCAGGCTGTTGCCGGGTGACAGGTCTGCGCTTGTGTGTGCATCTTGTCAGCTGACTGGTTCGTTTAGGGCAGATTTGCTGGCTGTTTGATCTCATGAATCAACAATTCCTGGATAAAACCAAACCCATCAAAAGGATTCAAGCGGGAAATCCAAGAAATAGAAAGTCTGCAGAGGTTGAGTGCAGGTTTAGTGGGACCTCAGGCTGACTTCGGGTCAATCCTGTTTCAAAGCGACAACCTGAGAAACTCGTCACTTACCATTACATTACATCACTCACAACCTCACCTTTTTAAGAGGCTAATTATAGACTCTTTAGTATTGTTATAACCTGGAAAACTGTTTCATTCTTATCAATCCCGGATCCACATACCGAACCTGAGGTACGGTGAGGACGTGTTCGACGTTATGTCGGCGCCAGGAGGGTCCAGTCGGAACTCCTTCGCTTCGCTTCGGGAAGGTGCCGATCCATAGGGAAAGCCTAGACATAAGAGATTGGATCCAGCCACCCAATGGCACCAATGGCACCCAAGGCACCAACTGGATCCTTATGTCTTGTGGCTGGATCCATAAGGGAAGTTTCGCCCCCAATAGAGATTGGATCCAGCCACCCTCATTCCCTGCTTTCGACGCACCAGTCAGTTCTTAGAAAAAAAAGAGTGACAATTCGATGCATTCCATGCGGATCCCTGAAGACCTGACCGCAAGAGCTCTGCTTTGGCGCTCCCGTCAGGTGCCGCCCGAGTGGGTCCTCGCATGAGCGGGGGAAGCACGGCCCAAATCAACGTAGGCAGGAGGTGGCCTGCATTTGGTGGCTGGGGGTGGGTGTTTGAAGTGGTTGACGGAGCTGTAGTTCCAGGTCTACCGGGCTTCCAAACGGATCCATACTATTCCAAAGCGCTTGGGCACTCGGATGTTGCGCTCTATAGCACTCGTACTTTGACTGCTTCACGACATAGCCCCACACGAGCCGGGCCCGAGATGGAAACGTTGCACAGGGCCCGAGCGGTTGGGCAGTTCGGCCCCAGGAAGACCATGACATCCGAAGACCGAACAGGGAACTCCACGTCCATGGAACGTGAGAGGGAGAGGTACTAGAATGTAGCAGATCTTACTGAAAAAGGCAAAGAAAAGAACTCATCGCCAGGTTCACATACAGCAACTTTCCTCCCTCAGAGATAGGAACCTAGGGGGGTTCCGGCTAGCTCTCAAGTACGTATGTTTTCGTACTATCCAGAAGAAGCCCTCCTTTGGGTCATAATTACCAAGCAGCACATTTTTGGACCCTGAAGAAACGACCAGTTCCTCACCAGTTCTGCTCTTGGACTCGGATCACCACTGACGTGGGAGAAGGAGACATCCCTGTCAGAACTCTTTGCCCCAAGTTGCTTGAAGAGTTCGAGCTAGACGTCGTAGATCCCCGCTCAGCAGGATGCAGGTCGTAACTTATTTCGCGCGTTCCGATCCAGGGGGATGTGGACTTTGCCACGCCCATCGAAAGAGAGACACTTTTCCGGGTGAACAAAGTATGCCCTCAGTAGACAGTGGACTGCTGCAAAGCTGAAGTAGTTTGGTATCTATGGCTAGCTAACCCTGCAGATTTTTGAGGATGGTTGCGAATGGTTGCTTGTGATGTCCAATGGATGGACGAGAGCAGGACCTTTGCTACTGTTGTAGAGTGGACACAGCCACCAATATGACTGAGTGATTGTCATAGTTATATATTGGCCCTTCACCACCCCTACCGCCGTCATCAACCTGGTTGCTCTCTTTTACCCAACCCTACCAAGCCCTGCTAAACTCAGCTGAAATCGCTGCTGTCCGCAAATGTTGTCGAAGATGGCCATATCTTCCCTGGTTTTGTTCCTACAATCGCTTGTGTCAATCTTTAACTTCTTTGCGGGCTAGGTCTCCTGTTATTCAAGTTAACCTGGTGTTCTATGGAAACTGCACGGGGTCAGCTACACTCTTCAGGACGGTTCCTCCCCAAGAGAAGCAAAGCGCAGCGAGCTGCTTCGCGGGCTCTCTGTCCGGCAGATTCGTCAGACTGCCGTGCTGTACAGATGAACGGTGGTCTGCCAACTCTGACATGTTCCTGAGACTACGGTCGGCCAAGTGTGCTGTCAGCGTTCTCCGGTTTTGGGTTTAAGAGATGTTAAGCCTTGGGTTGGTTCTTCTTTGAGTCAGCTGTTTTGCAAGCAGCTTCAGAGACTTCTTGGTTCAGACACTCAGTGTATGCAAAGATGTGAGTCCAAACGAACATCAACCCCCAAGTCCCACGGAGGAGCAAATCCAGAGGTGTTTTCAGGTCATCCATGCTGACGTCCATATCAAACATATCTGAACACCTTAAAGCTTATCAGTATGAAGAATGCATCTATGCTCACGAACCTTTGGGTGGATCCTTCCATCCTTCAGGATCGACCCTTCAAGTCGGAGAGTCATTCTGAAAGGAACCTCATACACCCGCCAACGCGACGCGACCAGCCAACGCTGCCGGACATGAATCGATGCATGCCACGTCGTCGTCCCGTCCAACGGAAGCGGCGGAGTTGCGTTTGAAAAGACGATGCGGTGCCGCAACAGAGCACGCGGAACTCGCCGGGCACGGAGGGGCTGGGGTCGGAATCCAGGATCATGAGCATATATAGATACAAGAGACTGTTGGTCGTTGCCGACGAGACCCGATAGAAGGTTGAAAGTCGTCCTCATTGGCAATGTCCCATGGTGCTTGAGGTCTTCCACTTTCTAGATAATTATACATAGATAATTCTATATATATATATATATCTATACCCGAGAAAAACTTGTAACATAAGAATAGTCGTTGGGGCATGTTCCAATCTAAACTGGTCTCCCAATGATACCCTGTTCACCCTATCTTTTCCACATGACTCCAAGACTGCTGACACTTTGATGGTTTGTGCCATTTTGTGCTTAGTTGTGCCCCGGCACTTTCTTAAGCTCCTAGGAGAAATCAATCTAGCTGAAGAATGTCCAGGTGACATCACCAATCACTGACTGGTGCACGGCAACCCTAAATGTGGAACATGGGAAGGATGCCATAACCAAGCACACATCTCATGTACCATGCGTCGCCCAATTTGACCTCTACATTGGGAGGAATCAAACGTTCAAACTCCATTTGCCGGCCTGGTTCCTTTTATGACTTAGCCAGTTCACCCAGTTCACTCATAGTCACCTCACCTACACCTACACCACCACCCCACCCACCCTACCCACCCCAACCGGACGGGGTCGTTTGGAGCGGGCAGATCCTCCACTTCGCGCCAACCGAGGTCGGCAGAAAACACCACCTAAAGCGCTCCACGTCCGTCGTCACAGAGCTCAGGTCTCAGATCTCGGGACGGCTCGACGCGCTCCATAGCGTGTTGGCGAACCATGGAGCACGACTGCTGGAAGGCGCTGGGTGTCGAGCGGTGTGTCCAGCGGGGGGTGTCGGAAGAGTTTGGGCGACGGAGGATTCAAGGTCCAAGTCCAAGTGAATCGAAGACCAAAAGACTCAGTTTGGCTTAATCATTGCACCCAGTTCGGTTTGATTATTGGTGATCCGTGATCAGCCTTCTTCCACCCTCTAGGGTTGAAAACCACACCGATCTGGGTCTCCTGGTAGCTAGCCTACTTGCATCAAGTTCTTATTCAAGCAGAAGTTCATTGTTGTTACTGTTTCTCCACTACTTGATAGTTGCGCACATTTGTATATAGTAGTGTAATTAGTTGTCAAGTACGTACTTGGAAACCCTCCATAGCTGCTCACCTGCCTCCATGCTGCGGCATGACCTCCTTGGTGGACGGCCTCCCACCGAAACCCTTCGGTTCTTCTCTCAGGAGAAGCCCACCTCCAGGCGGGCCACTGGGTATCGGGGGGCAGTGGATTCAGATGATCGACAGGTGCGACCAAAGTTTGGAATGAGGCTGATTTTCTGACTAGAGATTAAAACATGATTGTTCTCTCACCTGAGAAAGAAGTCATTCATTTACTCATTATACAATTCACTTCCAGGATCAAGCCACCCACAGTCAGATGAGATGGCTGGGAGATCCTCTGGCCATCTCACTGGCCATCTCAGTGGGTGGCGAGATCGCCGTTCGGGAGTGAGGAAGGTACTTGGGATCCAGGAAGATCTAGGAAGATGTGCCAAGTCCCAGTGGAAGGTCCTTTGCCCGGACATGTTTTAAACTCACTGGTGAACCGCCCCGGCATCCAAGGGATCCTGTTTCCTCAAACAGGCGCGGCAATCTATGCATGTGCATTTGATACAATTTTAAAAATTATTCCAGGACCTTCAAAGTGACCTTTTCATCTCTTTGTTGACCTTTTCACGGGCCTATATTGACGTTCAAAGAGACCTTTATTGACCAGACATCAAAAGGTCACGGTCCCGGTGTATAATTTGTTCTTTGGTCAACTTTGGTTCCATTTTTGCTCTTGTTTTTGTGTTGTTGTTGTATATATGTTTCACTCCACTTTGTTTCCCTCTCTCTCTCTCTCACTCTTTCTCACCCCTTGTTGCTTTTGTGCATGTTTACACACATCATGTGATCGCTTTTACAGATGAGAAGCATGTTCTTGCAAAGTGTTTCTTGGGCAAACGCAATATATGTATTATTCCTTAATTATGTTTAGCTCTGATGCATTTCACCGCAATCCAAATTTGATGCTGATAGAAGCTCTGCAGCTTGGAGCTTCCATTCAAGGTAAACAGTGGGGGAGCCGTGGTGTGCCAACCCAATCTCCTCCTTCTAAACCATTGGGGGCTGTACTGGGTGGATAAAATCCATGGGGTTTGACCCAAGACTTTTTATTCGGGTGCCGGCCTTTGAGCTACCTAACAAGGAGTTTTTTCCCGTTAAAATAATCCACCCAAGTAAGAAGTATATACAATATATATATATATATATATTGGTGTTTTACTTTTTTTCTCTTGCTGGTTAACGCAAAAGAAACGAAAAGATGGAATAGAAAAGAAGAACGGGCCAAGTCGGGACCCGTCACTATCCAATCACAGGTGGATGTTTAGAAATCTTGGCTAGATTTGGCTACGGTTTCACTTTGCGGTTGGTGGCTTCATTGATTTTGCCACGGATATCAAGAAAAGAAAAGAGAAAAGAACGGAAAAGAAAGAGAGAGAGAGAGAGAGAGCAGAGATTTCTAGCCAGCTTTTTGCAAGATTTTTCCGAGCTCCTCAGCTCCATTGATGTACAGATGTAGACAGATAAGAAAGTAACAGCAATACCAAGATCGAGTAGAAACAGACATGTGTCAGACATGTTTCTTTTGCAGGATGCCAGAAAATATGGAAAATCAAGACATGTGAGGGATCTTGATGTTGTACAGGTGCCTACGTGCGCACACATTCCATGGTACTGCGATGTCTTCAAGCTTGTTGGCAATCTTGTTTGGCCAAGCTTGTTGGAATCCTTGTAGCCAAGTCCAATGCGCATCAACATGTGCATCCTTAAAAAAGAAAACGATTGGATATTTTCCCTGGTGCTGAGGTTGGAGATATAAAATGACAACGTCTGGCATATGCTATAAAGTAATCTACTTCTGCTAGGTCTGGGGAGCTTTCCAGAATAGAAATTGTTCAATGGCAGTGAACCTTGAACAAGAAGGTGCGCATAGACAGGACAGCTTTACAGCAGGTCCAAGCTGGAATGCTGCAATTCTGTGGTCATTGATGGCTAGCAAAGGGGCTTCTTCTTGTGATTTGCGTTCATGTTTGATCGCAACCCCCTGGCCATGGTCAAAGGAACTACGAACAAGGTTATGGTCAATGCTGCCCTTTTTGTAATGGATAAAGACAGATTGCAACGTAATTATATATATACATATAATTACATATATGATCCTGTCTATTTTCGTGTGAAGGGATATGCAGCCATGGCCATCGACAAGTATGAACTGCGCCGCGACAGCAATATGGACTGCCTGCACATTTCCATGAGGGCACAGTTGCAGGCAGATGCCATGGATCATGAGACGGTCAAGGCCCTCCTGCAGATCAAGAGGGGCAACGGCCTCCTCAGGCGAGCCTCAGAGCAAGGGAAGGCCAAGGCCTTTGCCAAATCAGTTAAGCCGCCTGCCATGGCGGCAAGACAATTCATGGACCCCATGTCCATGCGCAGGTCGGTGGCCGGAGGATTCAAACGTTAGCGTCTTCCTCTTGGAGAACATGCAAGGAAAGCGATGAGCCATTTGCCTTCTGCTATGTGAAGGACCACCAGCCCCCAAAACCCAAAGTGGGCTGGCACCTGGACCCTGGACCTCTATCTGTCTATGGCTGGCTCGATTCTCAGTGCTGCCAGGTGTGTCACATGAGCCACGGAATGAGATCAGCCTGAACAGGCTGGCTGCGAGCACAAGCTGCTGTGAGCATGGCACAGTAACAGGCACTGGATCTGATCGACCCAAAAAGCTCTGCTCCCAGACTCCAAAAAACATTCCTTTACTTCAAGTGATCCCAACTGTGGCAAACAGTTTGGTGCAGTTTACGTTGGGACAAAGACCTCCTATGTTCTTTTCTTACTGGCATTCTGCTCTGACATTCAACCTGATATTCTTGCTGGATCCCCAACTACCTTAAATGAAAAACCTCGGGGTCAACATCTACTAGGTCGGGTGCTGGAGACGCCTGAGAAGTGCAGGGGAGAGTGGTGCAGAGGTGATGGAGAAGAGGTGCTGGAGAAAAGGAGAGGAGAGGAGAGGAGAGGAGAGGAGAGGAGAGGAGAGGAGAG